TTCCTCAATGAATTATACCATTTAAAATAAAAGAACATAAGAATATTGAATTCAATGGAAATAATTAAAAACTTAAAAGGTGTTCTAAAGAGAACAGTATCTTAGAGGAAAAAAAAAATTAACAATTACAAATAAAAAAAATAATGAAGATTAATATAAAAAAATTGATTAGAGGACCAAATCCAGGTTACATTTTATATAAGGACTTCCATGCTGTAGGTATGATGTCTGCATCCCTATGGTTAATAACTCCTGTGCTTTTTGTCAAAAATTTCTGAAGCTTTGCAGGGAGGTTTGTGTATTAGGGGATTGATGCTATTAAATTTTGGTGATTAAAGGACAAGGTGGTGGGGATGTAATGGGAGTGGAATGTATCTTCAGTAGGGTTGGACTTAATGACAATTTTACTCATTATTAGCATTTACAATTTTTATAAAATTTATCCCTACTTTCAAGATTAAGCTTTTTGCCATTTTATAATAGTTAAAAATAAAAGTTTTTTAATAAAACTTGATAACAGATGGTGCTCCAAAATTTTAAATGTTGCTAGGAAAGCTGAGCTGGTTTTTGTTACTGGTTTATTTTTATTTGTAATTATTAATTGTTAATGTTTTCCTCCTCTAAGATAGTGTTCTCTTTAGAACACCTTTTAATTTTTAAATTCTTTCCATTGAATTCAATATTCTTATGTTCTTTTATTTTAATTGGTATAATTCATTGAGGAAGGCTTATTGTATTAGGTCAAAAACATTATGATTTATTAAATCTACTGCTAGAGTTACAAGGTGATCTATTTATTATTTTAAATTAATATTTATTAAATAATTCAGAAACTAGTAACTAGTATGGTTATATCTAAATTAACTATGTCTGGAAGTGAAGGATCAGATGGAGATCTGGGAGACCATGTGAATGCATAACTTGTAATGCATTTACATGGTAAGTGCCAGTTGCGAGTTTAAGATCTGTTCTGGGCTGATTTATTTTCTTTCAGAATTTCTAAATTATTTAATAAATATTAATTTAATTATAATTTTTAAATTTAATAAGAGATGGTTGCTAATGCCTACCTCTACTACCAAATTAATCAGTATTTAATTATTAATAGTAGCAATAATATAGCCTGATTTAATTTTTCTTTAATATAACTGTCAGGCTTAGAGATGTTTATTTATATCTTCTTCAAGGATCTGGCTAGTTTCTGTTTTTCTTAATCTCCCTTTCATTCTAATTTGATATAAGCTTTTGTAGACAAATAGTAAATTAAACTCTATACCAAATATTGTAATATAAGGATAGATAGAGAAAATACACTGTCAGGTGGTATTAAAATCCTTTTTATAATGCAAGAAGTTCATGCTTTGTGAAGAGAAAGCTTTTCTACTTAAAGCTAATGACGGTTTCTGTGCCAATCTAATTCTGTTTTGTTAAACAAAGACCCCCCTATGGTGGTAAGAATTGTGGTACTACATGCTATTGCATTGGCTTTACCTGGACCACTTGATCCTTCTTCCAATATTACAATTCTTAGATAGTTGTTTGGGCCTAAAACACATAAGCTAGTGTGGCTGCTGTAATCTTTAGCAAACAAATGGTTTCATCCTACCTACTTGGAAAAGCACTCTTCAAGAAAATTGCTTCTCTAATCTCAAAATTGTGCTTAGTCACCCACTCATCTTTGGAAGCTAAATTTGCCATTAACAGGACTATCAGTTTATTACCTTCAAATACATTCTGCTTTTTCAAATTGGACATGGTATCTTTGTACACTTCTGTTCCTTTGTGTGTGTGGGGTGTTCCCCCCTTCTTTCTGCAGAACTTCTTTCAAGCTTCCGCCTGGGAGCGCAAGTGTGCGTTAGTTTCCCTATGGCGCTTCGTCTAGTCGGTGAGTTGGTTTTTTTCTTCGTCTCTCTTCTTTTTCATTACTAAGGTGAGTGGTGAGGAAACCTTCGTCCTAACTAAACATAAACCCCAACAAAATAGAATAAGAATCAAAATAAAATAAAATAATAATACAGCTCGGACTCAATTCCTTACACTTGTTTTATGGCAGTCATGCTCATTAATACCCTCCTACTCAAAAAAGGCTTAGCCAAACAACAGATTTTGGATATATGAGAGGCTCTTGTTCATCAGTGAACACAATTATTTTCATTTTAATGATAACATCTACTTATAAAAGTAGGGATCCAAATGGTCCTACCTATCTGCTATCTTAGCAGAGTTAATCATGAGAGAATTGAAGTTTAAAGTATTTACTTTCTCACTTACTATCCACTACCCGCTTCTATATTTGCATTATGTAGATGATCTTATTGTGTGGGAGGTACAAACCAGGAGCTGGCACACTTTGTACATCATCTATCTGCCATGTACTCCTCCATTTCCTTCTCCATAGTAGAAGAGATGGATGCAAAAATAGTGTTCTTAGATCTGTACATACGTAGATCTTCTACAGGACTTTTCTACTGTATGTACTGCAAGCTTAATTTTATTTTATTCCATGTTATCTTAGAAACATCTTTTCAGCCTTCACATTACATCAACTCTGCCATTTCCACCTCATTAGAAGAACCTTTTTATTTTCATAAATTCATGAGCTTATTGAATTCAAGTTACTTAAGTTTATGTGGCTGCACACAAGAGGGTATTCATCTGTTAAGTTTTACTATGTTCTTATCATGGTTAAAAATTAAGTATTTCTGCTCACTCCTCTACATTCTATAGCTGACCTGCAGTCACCAATTCCATACCTTTGTTCCCTTTCTATATGCATTTGCTGCATCTTTAAAAAACAACCTCCTGCTGCCTTTCTTCCCAAATCCAGCTTTATGCAGGCTTTTCTGTAATGATAAGGACAGACTCTCTCTTCTCGAGAAATATGGGGTTTATGTTGTACCACTTTCACACCTGACAAATGGGAGAAAATACATGGTACATTGATGCAGTGGTCAGAATGCTGGCAAGTCATTTAGCAGATCACTAGCAGGATGCCACAAAATATACATGCTGCAAGGAGCTTATCAAAAAAGTTTAATTTCAATCCTTTGTGAGTCCAAACTACCTTCCTCAAGTGTTGTGACGATTGTAGGGTGTTATTTACTTGGGAAGCCCTCCTTACTTTCAGATTGTGCCTGTGCAAACCCCAGTTGAGCTTCCTAACTTGTGGATTGCACTTTTTAAACTTTTCAACTATGACACCACACTATCCTAGTCATTTCATGATATATAATGCACTGCAGACTTATGCCATGAAAATGTTTTGAGAGTTCTGTTGCATCTTTTGTTCTGTTTGCCTTTTGTTTTCTCATACTCATAAGCCTCAAATTCCATTGTGAATTTTAAATGTTTAAAAGTTAAGAATGTTATAATGCACATAGTGATGTTCTGTTCCAAATTTGAGATGTTCATTAGCCTGATGATGACAGTTTTGTATTGTGTAAAGTACTTGTGCTATAAAAAGGATTTTAATGTCATCTGATATCTGATAATGTGTTTACTTTATTTATTGTTATAGTATAAGCCTTTGATATTTTTGTCATCTAAAAGTCTTACTCTGAAAGGTTGTGTGTTATTGTTCTTGTAGATTGCATTGCTATTAAGATTTTTCATCTTTATTGTCATTTTATCTTACCAATTAGAAGTTTGTAATCCAATTTGATTTCTGGTCCTCTAGATACATTGTCTATCTTTAACATCAAGATGTCAAAGATGACAATGCTTTTTTCCTATGTACTTTCTGATGTATATTTGTGGATGGCTTTGTGTTTAAAAAAAGGTATTATTCTACAGTTGGAAAATCCCTTAGTCTGATACCACTTTTATTGCAGGTCTTTTTCCAATATTTTGTTTGTATGGACTGATTCCTGGGCGCTAGGGCACTCTGGATTTCCTCGTGCATACGTCCACGAAAACATTAAACAACCACCGAAAAATAACATCCTTTCCGTCTTCGCGTGGCACGTTTGCATTCACCCTCATCCGATCGGCGACCGCCTAGATCAGGCATGGCCAACATACGGGCCGTCTAATGAATTTATGTGGCCCGCGATCAATCTTCTAATATTAGCTACTGAAGTCCGAATAGCTCGATGAAAAATTCTGATGTCTAAAAAAAACAACTCACCGCGCGTTTAGAGTTAACCCTCCATTACAAATCTCGTAAGTACAGCGTAGAACGTTGATAAAGCATGATAATGTGAAAAATGTATCTGTAATCTCTATCTACAATTCAGTCTCTACGGGGTGACTCCGCAATGAGATCTCGCACCACCTCAAAATCTTCCTAGGGCAGCCTGTGGTTCGGCCCGTGAAAAAAGTTTTATTTTCAATTCGGCCCGGGGGCAAAAACTGTTGGCCACCCCTGGCCTAGACGCTACCCTGGCGATTTTCCACCCGTGTGCGCGAAAACTTTTCCAGGTTTTTCAATAATTGATTTTCGAAAGTGTACGTGTCGAAACTAAAACCTTTTTAAATTGTTATGCCAGTTTTTCTTTCTTGTAATAGATAAACGTATACGTGAGGTAGTAAAAAAATAGGAAATGGAAAATGTCTCTATAGGCTATACTAGGACTTAATGTTATCTGCTTATCTTACGTAAATGAAAATTATTAATTTAAATAACTATCGTTGCGACTGCTGCCGTTTTAAGGAACGACCATACCATTTTATTGAATTGGCAAAAAATCTAGACCAAACGATTTAGCTTAAGTGGCCAGTAATACGGCGATAGAATGTTTACTAACGCGACTTTAAATCGCGTGATTTTTTTTCACCGAAATAAAAAAGGTGGAAAAACACCGCTCTACCCGAATCGCAAGCTTTCGAATTTCCTCCGGCGCCCGACGAGGAGAAAGAGTTGGCGCATTTCGGGTGAGGACGGTTTTGCCTTAACGCCACGGCCGGAGAACGCTTTAATTACTTATTAAAAATAGGGTCGGGGCTGCGGCTTTACGGGCGGAGCGTCGTCTGTCCTAACGAAATTTCCATTCTTCCCGCAGATGAAGCGCGTGATGGAGATGCAGGCGGAGAGAAAACGGCGATGGAAGAACAAGGAAAACGCCGGAAAGGAATATTACGCCCCGCCCCCCAAGATCGACAGCTTCGAAGACGTTTACCAATGAAGAATTCCCGAGGGTAGCCGCGCGGCGTCCGGTAGAACGTCGACCGATCCTTTCTTAGTCCCCAGCAGAATTGTATTCCGGACCAATAAATAACGTACGATAGCGCCACCGCTGGTCTTCTCTGGGTCCGCGGGCGGAGGGGTAAGAAGAGCCGGTTACGGAGGAATTAGCGGAAGAGGAGACGGCGGCTCCTCTCGAACGTCGGACTATTTATAGCCGCGCCGTCGTAATTAGGCCAGGTATTCGGGCGCCGGAGTCGGACCGTATAGGGGAGAAAGGTCGGAGTTCGGCGGATACGTCCGGGACTGGGTGTTTTCCGGAGGGCGGCGGGTATTTTTCGTCGTCGGAGACCGGGAGGAAAGGCCGAGTGGGGTTTCTATTTGGGCGCGGCCGTCGGAGTCTGCGGTTGGGTCCGTTCTAAAAATAGACGCTAGCAACTAGACCGAAACTCTGTTAGCGCAGCCAGCTGGCGCCTCACCCCGCCGCCGGGACACGTTCCTACCGTCGATATGGCGTCGTCGGGAAATTATAATATCCCTCGCACCAAAACCTTCAAGAGGATCTACACCGAGGTGAGCCTCCCCCCACCGCCGGGTCCGCGTTCTCCCCTCGCGGTTCGTCTTCCGGGAAGCCGTCGCGTCGTCCTCCCTCCCTTACGTAACGGGCGGAGGCCGCGGCCGAAGGACGGAGGAGAGCCGCCCGCCCCGACGGAAGTGCGACTCTCCTTACCGATTCGTCGAAAGTGGGGGGAGAGGAAACGCGCGGTCCCCGCCGCTTCCGGAAATTACGTTTTGGCCGGAAGAGCTTTCTCCCGCCTCCCGGATTTTAAATCTCCGCGTTTTAAACGCCGCGANTTTGTGTTTTTCAAATAAATTTTCTTTAGTCTCTTTTATAATAAATGAATTTATCTATTTCTAAGTAAAAATTGAAAATGTCTGTAGAAGTAACTTTTTAAAATATCCTTTTTTCTTGATAAACTTTTAATACTTATTATTATAATCTAGACACGTTAATTTTTAAACATATTTGTATATTGGGCCAAAAGTATATATGTACTTGTGGCCCAAAACTCCTCGACTTCTTCCAATGCGGCCCAGAGAAAGAAGAAGGTCGGACACCCCTGCTTTAGAAGTTAATCTATTATCAAAAACGTTCGATTCAGCACGACACGCAGTCCTCAAAAAACCGGCGTCTAATTACAGAACGATTCCGTAGCTGTAGTTGTTTTTTACTACGAGATGTCGCTAGTATTGTGACCTTCGGATAGCGCAATGGCTCCCAATTAGTGGTACGCGTACCCAAGGACTATATACTACAAGGATAGTCAGATCCCTATTCTACAATGTTAGCCAGGAATGCCAAGTTAGTGACGTCAGCACGAGACCTGACTTCTCTGTTTCCATAGAGCAGGGTGCGCAGGTGTTTAGTTTTCGCTTTTAATATTCGTCCAATTTTATGATTAACGAAGTGATTTATTTTAATATTTCTCTAATTGTTTTATTTGACTAAGTTTTTTATAAGGTAAGATGATTTAAATATAAGTCATTAAATATTTAAAGCTATATTTTTATGTTAGGTGAAGAACAAAATGCTGAGTACCAGGTGTGCTGTGTATGGTTGCAATAATAACCTTCTTTTTTCAAATTGGAAGCAACCTGTTTACATCGGGTTTGATCAAAAAATGACAAGAGAAATACTTTTAAAATTAATAGCAGAACTTTATTTACTATCGTATAATGTAGTAGCTTGCGTCAGTGACTGTAGTTGCAGTAACATAAGTTTATGGAAAGAATTGAATGTGAATATCAATGAAACGTTTNAATATTTCTGTAATTGTTTTATTTGACTAAGTTTTTTATAAGGTAAGATGATTTAAATATAAGTCATTAAATATTTAAAGCTATATTTTTATGTTAGGTGAAGAACAAAATGCTGAGTACCAGGTGTGCTGTGTATGGTTGCAATAATAACCTTTTTTCAAATTGGAAGCAACCTGTTTACATCGGGTTTGATCAAAAAATGACAAGAGAAATACTTTTAAAATTAATAGCAGAACTTTATTTACTATCGTATAATGTAGTAGCTCACATCAGTGACTGTAGTTGCAGTAACATAAGTTTATGAAAAGAATTGAATGTGAATATCAATGAAACATTCATTATGAATCAATTATTATTATCAATGAAACGTATATTAAAGATATAAATATGTGGTTCGACATTTTTAATAGCTATGCACCAAAAGGTTCTGTTCCAAGCAAAAATGGATATAGTGTAGACTCGGAATTACAAGAAGAACATTTAAATAAAATGATAAAAATAATCTCAACAATGAGAGCGAGTGGAAAAAATGACCTCCAAATTTTCCAGAAAGGAATGATAATCTCAATGAAATCGCTAATTGATCTTTTTCAAGATATGAAATCGACTTTTGATATAAAATACATCTGCACTTAAATCAAGATTGTCTGGAAAACTTTTTTTTTNTTCTAAATTATTTAATAAATATTAATTTAATTATAATTTTTAAATTTAATAAGAGATGGTTGCTAATGCCTACCTCTACTACCAAATTAATCAGTATTTAATTATTAATAGTAGCAATAATATAGCCTGATTTAATTTTTCTTTAATATAACTGTCAGGCTTAGAGATGTTTATTTATATCTTCTTCAAGGATCTGGCTAGTTTCTGTTTTTCTTAATCTCCCTTTCATTCTAATTTGATATAAGCTTTTGTAGACAAATAGTAAATTAAACTCTATACCAAATATTGTAATATAAGGATAGATAGAGAAAATACACTGTCAGGTGGTATTAAAATCCTTTTTATAATGCAAGAAGTTCATGCTTTGTGAAGAGAAAGCTTTTCTACTTAAAGCTAATGACGGTTTCTGTGCCAATCTAATTCTGTTTTGTTAAACAAAGACCCCCCTATGGTGGTAAGAATTGTGGTACTACATGCTATTGCATTGGCTTTACCTGGACCACTTGATCCTTCTTCCAATATTACAATTCTTAGATAGTTGTTTGGGCCTAAAACACATAAGCTAGTGTGGCTGCTGTAATCTTTAGCAAACAAATGGTTTCATCCTACCTACTTGGAAAAGCACTCTTCAAGAAAATTGCTTCTCTAATCTCAAAATTGTGCTTAGTCACCCACTCATCTTTGGAAGCTAAATTTGCCATTAACAGGACTATCAGTTTATTACCTTCAAATACATTCTGCTTTTTCAAATTGGACATGGTATCTTTGTACACTTCTGTTCCTTTGTGCGTGTGGGGTGTTCCCCCCTTCTTTCTGCAGAACTTCTTTCAAGCTTCCGCCTGGGAGCGCAAGTGTGCGTTAGTTTCCCTATGGCGCTTCGTCTAGTCGGTGAGTTGGTTTTTTTCTTCGTCTCTCTTCTTTTTCATTACTAAGGTGAGTGGTGAGGAAACCTTCGTCCTAACTAAACATAAACCCCAACAAAATAGAATAAGAATCAAAATAAAATAAAATAATAATACAGCTCGGACTCAATTCCTTACACTTGTTTTATGGCAGTCATGCTCATTAATACCCTCCTACTCAAAAAAGGCTTAGCCAAACAACAGATTTTGGATATATGAGAGGCTCTTGTTCATCAGTGAACACAATTATTTTCATTTTAATGATAACATCTACTTATAAAAGTAGGGATCCAAATGGTCCTACCTATCTGCTATCTTAGCAGAGTTAATCATGAGAGAATTGAAGTTTAAAGTATTTACTTTCTCACTTACTATCCACTACCCGCTTCTATATTTGCATTATGTAGATGATCTTATTGTGTGGGAGGTACAAACCAGGAGCTGGCACACTTTGTACATCATCTATCTGCCATGTACTCCTCCATTTCCTTCTCCATAGTAGAAGAGATGGATGCAAAAATAGTGTTCTTAGATCTGTACATACGTAGATCTTCTACAGGACTTTTCTACTGTATGTACTGCAAGCTTAATTTTATTTTATTCCATGTTATCTTAGAAACATCTTTTCAGCCTTCACATTACATCAACTCTGCCATTTCCACCTCATTAGAAGAACCTTTTTATTTTCATAAATTCATGAGCTTATTGAATTCAAGTTACTTAAGTTTATGTGGCTGCACACAAGAGGGTATTCATCTGTTAAGTTTTACTATGTTCTTATCATGGTTAAAAATTAAGTATTTCTGCTCACTCCTCTACATTCTATAGCTGACCTGCAGTCACCAATTCCATACCTTTGTTCCCTTTCTATATGCATTTGCTGCATCTTTAAAAAACAACCTCCTGCTGCCTTTCTTCCCAAATCCAGCTTTATGCAGGCTTTTCTGTAATGATAAGGACAGACTCTCTCTTCTCGAGAAATATGGGGTTTATGTTGTACCACTTTCACACCTGACAAATGGGAGAAAATACATGGTACATTGATGCAGTGGTCAGAATGCTGGCAAGTCATTTAGCAGATCACTAGCAGGATGCCACAAAATATACATGCTGCAAGGAGCTTATCAAAAAAGTTTAATTTCAATCCTTTGTGAGTCCAAACTACCTTCCTCAAGTGTTGTGACGATTGTAGGGTGTTATTTACTTGGGAAGCCCTCCTTACTTTCAGATTGTGCCTGTGCAAACCCCAGTTGAGCTTCCTAACTTGTGGATTGCACTTTTTAAACTTTTCAACTATGACACCACACTATCCTAGTCATTTCATGATATATAATGCACTGCAGACTTATGCCATGAAAATGTTTTGAGAGTTCTGTTGCATCTTTTGTTCTGTTTGCCTTTTGTTTTCTCATACTCATAAGCCTCAAATTCCATTGTGAATTTTAAATGTTTAAAAGTTAAGAATGTTATAATGCACATAGTGATGTTCTGTTCCAAATTTGAGATGTTCATTAGCCTGATGATGACAGTTTTGTATTGTGTAAAGTACTTGTGCTATAAAAAGGATTTTAATGTCATCTGATATCTGATAATGTGTTTACTTTATTTATTGTTATAGTATAAGCCTTTGATATTTTTGTCATCTAAAAGTCTTACTCTGAAAGGTTGTGTGTTATTGTTCTTGTAGATTGCATTGCTATTAAGATTTTTCATCTTTATTGTCATTTTATCTTACCAATTAGAAGTTTGTAATCCAATTTGATTTCTGGTCCTCTAGATACATTGTCTATCTTTAACATCAAGATGTCAAAGATGACAATGCTTTTTTCCTATGTACTTTCTGATGTATATTTGTGGATGGCTTTGTGTTTAAAAAAAGGTATTATTCTACAGTTGGAAAATCCCTTAGTCTGATACCACTTTTATTGCAGGTCTTTTTCCAATATTTTGTTTGTATGGACTGATTCCTGGGCGCTAGGGCACTCTGGATTTCCTCGTGCATACGTCCACGAAAACATTAAACAACCACCGAAAAATAACATCCTTTCCGTCTTCGCGTGGCACGTTTGCATTCACCCTCATCCGATCGGCGACCGCCTAGATCAGGCATGGCCAACATACGGGCCGTCTAATGAATTTATGTGGCCCGCGATCAATCTTCTAATATTAGCTACTGAAGTCCGAATAGCTCGATGAAAAATTCTGATGTCTAAAAAAAACAACTCACCGCGCGTTTAGAGTTAACCCTCCATTACAAATCTCGTAAGTACAGCGTAGAACGTTGATAAAGCATGATAATGTGAAAAATGTATCTGTAATCTCTATCTACAATTCAGTCTCTACGGGGTGACTCCGCAATGAGATCTCGCACCACCTCAAAATCTTCCTAGGGCAGCCTGTGGTTCGGCCCGTGAAAAAAGTTTTATTTTCAATTCGGCCCGGGGGCAAAAACTGTTGGCCACCCCTGGCCTAGACGCTACCCTGGCGATTTTCCACCCGTGTGCGCGAAAACTTTTCCAGGTTTTTCAATAATTGATTTTCGAAAGTGTACGTGTCGAAACTAAAACCTTTTTAAATTGTTATGCCAGTTTTTCTTTCTTGTAATAGATAAACGTATACGTGAGGTAGTAAAAAAATAGGAAATGGAAAATGTCTCTATAGGCTATACTAGGACTTAATGTTATCTGCTTATCTTACGTAAATGAAAATTATTAATTTAAATAACTATCGTTGCGACTGCTGCCGTTTTAAGGAACGACCATACCATTTTATTGAATTGGCAAAAAATCTAGACCAAACGATTTAGCTTAAGTGGCCAGTAATACGGCGATAGAATGTTTACTAACGCGACTTTAAATCGCGTGATTTTTTTTCACCGAAATAAAAAAGGTGGAAAAACACCGCTCTACCCGAATCGCAAGCTTTCGAATTTCCTCCGGCGCCCGACGAGGAGAAAGAGTTGGCGCATTTCGGGTGAGGACGGTTTTGCCTTAACGCCACGGCCGGAGAACGCTTTAATTACTTATTAAAAATAGGGTCGGGGCTGCGGCTTTACGGGCGGAGCGTCGTCTGTCCTAACGAAATTTCCATTCTTCCCGCAGATGAAGCGCGTGATGGAGATGCAGGCGGAGAGAAAACGGCGATGGAAGAACAAGGAAAACGCCGGAAAGGAATATTACGCCCCGCCCCCCAAGATCGACAGCTTCGAAGACGTTTACCAATGAAGAATTCCCGAGGGTAGCCGCGCGGCGTCCGGTAGAACGTCGACCGATCCTTTCTTAGTCCCCAGCAGAATTGTATTCCGGACCAATAAATAACGTACGATAGCGCCACCGCTGGTCTTCTCTGGGTCCGCGGGCGGAGGGGTAAGAAGAGCCGGTTACGGAGGAATTAGCGGAAGAGGAGACGGCGGCTCCTCTCGAACGTCGGACTATTTATAGCCGCGCCGTCGTAATTAGGCCAGGTATTCGGGCGCCGGAGTCGGACCGTATAGGGGAGAAAGGTCGGAGTTCGGCGGATACGTCCGGGACTGGGTGTTTTCCGGAGGGCGGCGGGTATTTTTCGTCGTCGGAGACCGGGAGGAAAGGCCGAGTGGGGTTTCTATTTGGGCGCGGCCGTCGGAGTCTGCGGTTGGGTCCGTTCTAAAAATAGACGCTAGCAACTAGACCGAAACTCTGTTAGCGCAGCCAGCTGGCGCCTCACCCCGCCGCCGGGACACGTTCCTACCGTCGATATGGCGTCGTCGGGAAATTATAATATCCCTCGCACCAAAACCTTCAAGAGGATCTACACCGAGGTGAGCCTCCCCCCACCGCCGGGTCCGCGTTCTCCCCTCGCGGTTCGTCTTCCGGGAAGCCGTCGCGTCGTCCTCCCTCCCTTACGTAACGGGCGGAGGCCGCGGCCGAAGGACGGAGGAGAGCCGCCCGCCCCGACGGAAGTGCGACTCTCCTTACCGATTCGTCGAAAGTGGGGGGAGAGGAAACGCGCGGTCCCCGCCGCTTCCGGAAATTACGTTTTGGCCGGAAGAGCTTTCTCCCGCCTCCCGGATTTTAAATCTCCGCGTTTTAAACGCCGCGACCGGGGATCTTCCTCCCCCGCCCCCTCGGCCTCCTCCGGTCGCCCGCGCTTTGGTTTCGGCGGTCGGCGGCTCCTCCCGGCGCGGCGCGGGTACTTTTCGGGTAGAATAGGGAAAAAAGGAGAGGAGGAGAAAATCTAGGAGTTTTCGTTTCGGAACCGACTTTTTTAACGAACTTTTTAGCGACTTTTCGTCCTCGACCGAACCGATCTGGCCGTCCTTTTAATTTGGTCGAGCGAACTCGGTGGGTGGAAAATACTGGCCGTCCTCCGGTAACCCGGCTTCGTATTTTCCTTTATTTTGTTATTTGAAATAGAGAATCGAATGGAGTGGAAGACGAGAATTGTTTAATTCCTGCGATTTTACCGCGCCCAAAACTAATTACTAAAGTAACGGAGGGACTTAAAACCTGCCGCCACTCTACCGTCGTTTTAGCCGGAATTACTTAAAACGGGCGCGAAAATTTAATAATGGCGATTACATTTTTAAGTTCGCGCGTCCGGTAGATGCGGGGAAATGGACGCTTCGGCCTTTTCTTTCTCCGTCCGTCCGGCAAGCTGATTTTTGTTGGAAACAAAGGGAATGGGTAAAAGCGCCGTGATTGGTCGAAAGAAATTACCTTGCCAAGCATTTACCACTTTTTAAATACGAATTTTATACTAAATTCTTATATAAATATAGCACGGTTTCTGTCGTCGGCAGAAGTTTTACAGAATATAAAGAATTAAAATTAAAAATTAACCTATTTTCGATTTTGTGATTTTACACTTCTTTTATCTCCCCCAAACCCCCTCGACCTTTAATCGCCAACTTAATAGCAACCGTCTCCTAATACAGTGTTTCTCAACGGGGGCGATTAGAAACAATTTATATTTTGGGGGGCTTAAAACAATTTTCTGGGCGATATAGTAAAACATTATATTAAGAATAATTTTATTCGTTATATCGTACAATAATTAAACAAATACTGTAACATTATACTAGTCACAGTCTATTCGATGCGGTACGAATTTGGCGTTAGCCTCGGCATCGGAATTTTGAAGCGAAGGAGGCGATACTACGTAACGGTTTTATTGAAGGGGGCGACGATTCGTTAGAGGTTGAGAAACGCTGTCCTAATATATAAACCTCCCTGCAGAATTTCGAATTTTCCACAAAGAGCACCGGAGTTATTAAGCTTCGAACAGGGTGAACTAAACGTCTCCACGCACACGCACCCCCATATACACGGGAAAACCTTTTTTTTTGTTTTTTTCTGCATTTCTCGAAATTTCCAGGTCTCCCTAATCCAGAAACGTAAAATCTTGGGGGGTCGTTTTTGACCGATGGCCATACTTTCCCTCTGTTATATACAATTTGAATAATTATACGAATGGCTTATAATTTACGCGGTCTTAACACTTTTCCGAAGTTCTTTGCATTTTATAACGTCTTTCGATCGAAATAAACGTTGGTCCACCCTTATCCTGCACAAATTTATATCGATTCGTTTTCGTGTTTTGTTTTTTGACACTATTGCCACTCTAACATTTAAATTAAACTTACTCGGAAACTTCTAACCCGTTTTAAAATCGCCCGGCTTTTACACTCCCGGTCGTTACGTATACGTAACGAGGAAAAGTATCGAAATCGTCTGGAATTCGACTCCATGTTTTTTGCAAATCGACGTTCGCAGACCCCCGAACCAAAAGCCATAAGTAAAAAAATCCAACAACGAGAGTTGCGTAACGTTTCCAGCTGTTACGACTTTTTTTTAATAAAAAGTCAACAGCCGGTAGAGTTACTGTATTACGAAAAACAACGGACTTGCGTGTGGCTCCATCTGTTATCAAGTTTTGTTATAAAAGCAATTTTAATTACAGTAAGAACCGGCTTCCTCCATTAACGCTAATTCAATAAAACGTCTACTCGAAGCCTTAAAAAAAGGCCAAAATTTTCGCGGCATTTTATTGAATCTTATATAATACGATTATTTCCGAACACGACCTATCGGCGAAAGGTGGCAATTCGTCTTAGCTTCCCTTAAATCTATGGCTGTGTACACACTAGGTGTTTTTAAACGCGTTTTAGAGAACCAAGAGTTCTGCATAGGCGTAGACACTCAAACGCGCGTTTATAGATTTTTCTTAAAATGCGCGTTTTGCGAGCGTCAGTCGAGCGCTTTGAGATATATGTGTGTGCCATCTTACTGTACATTCGATGGCGCGTTTTCGGGTAAAGTGGACGTACGTTGGCCGAAATGGACAACGATCATTTCGATACTGATCTATTTATTGCTGAAATCTAAAAGAGACCAACCATTGTCAATTGATTTTATAAATATTTTAAAAGAATTAAAAATCTTGGGTTTATTTTGGTCTTAGTTTTGGATACAACGTCGCAAACATTCCACGCGTCAGTCTATCTCGTAATATTGGGTGCACCCAAAATTCTCTTTGTCTCTGCCATCGTCTTTTATAGCGACGATGGAGGAGGCGCACGCGAGCAATTACTTTCGCGTCCATTTCCAAACTGAGCCAGCGCGTACGCTCCACTAAACGATCGTCTAACGCCGAGCTAACGCGCGTTTAACGCAACGCAAAACGTCTAGTGTGTACACAGCCTATGTTTGTTTTGTTCAAATTTGGAAAAATAACATCACGGGTGTCCTAGGCATTATCGACTTCTCTCGGCAAGAATTAACCGTTAACTGCACGGAAGAAGTATGGCCGAAGGTATCCAAGAATTCTCAACGAGTGGGTTGATCAAATTGTCAACCTAATCGAAACGGCAGGACTAGGAGATGTAGACGAGCCGGATATGGAGGAAGTACTGCGGGTTTCTGGTGAGAGTCTTACCAACGACCACCTTGGAGAACTGGCAGGACAAAGAATTCGTGTAGAACTGGAAAATATTGATTCTGAAAACGAAGAACTCAAAGAACTTGTTAGAAATATCCTTAGTAAAAGTTTGGTAACGAATAATCCAGATTTTGAAAGGAGTACAAAAACGAGGCGAGGCGTTTTAAATGCCATCTCCCGCTGTAGACATTCGCTTAAAGAAAAAAATGACACTAGAGTTCATCGCAAAAAACAAAAATTTCAGAAAAGCCAGGACCTTCGTCATAAAAATGAATTTTACATTTCCGCGTGCATATGTTTGTATGTTATTTAGCATATATTATTATGCAAATTAATATAAAAATAGAGTAAAATTTGTTTACTTTTGTCCCCTTTTCCTATTTATACACGTTACGAAAATCCTTTGAGGATTAACCGTGATTTTTTTTTCTATCTATTCACCTTTAAATAAAAATAATTCTTTATACGTTGGGAAATATTTTAATAAGTTTTGTAAATTACTATGTTCGATCCAGCCAGTTATATCCGATTTTTTTTTCGTCTGTTAAGTACATCCTTTGAGGATTTCCGTTAAGCGCTAGACGAGGTCTTACTGTACTATAAAATGGCAAAAAGCTTAATTTCGAGGATAGCGATGAGCTTTATGAAAAATTGTAAATGTTAATTACGAATAAAATGTTAAGATCTACCCTTCGACCTTTCACCACCGAAATTTAACAGCAGCAATGCCACCGTGCCAAATTCGTTTTCTTAATCTTTACTCCGTCCCGCGATATTAAGCGAAATAGACGCCAACGCATACCCAGGCAATTTTTTTTTCTTCTTACTTTTCGGAAGGTCCGAAAACGCGGAGATTTGCAAAAACCTCTGAGGGTCAAATTTGAGACGATTCGCATACTTTCTCTCGTTACGTATACGTAACAGTCGGGAAAATAGAAAGCGGGAAGAAAATGCGCGGGGTGTATTTCGTTTAATATCTAGATTAACCCCTTTCGCAACGTTAGCAGATTTAATAATGTCTATTTTTCGCGATTGTCGATATCGTCGTTCTCGGAATCTCGAACACGCGTGCCACCTTCGTATTTCTCAACAATCTCTTTTTTCAGTTCCATTTTATTTTTCTGTTGCCTTTTTGCGGTTCGTGATTAATAAAAGTAATAAAATGTTACTTACAAATTAAAATCAGAAGAAATTTAACAAAGTTATAAACGTCTAGTCTGGTCTAGTACACCGATAGTGCTACTTGTTCGTAGATGGCGCGTATAATTGAATTAAGTCGTATACCGAGCAAAATTTGTATTCTAAAGCAGACGTATACCGAGATACCACTGTACTTGATTCCAAGAATTTATAAAATTTAAACAAAATGAATATTTGGCTTTTGTGGACCAATCTCGTTTTATTATAGTTATTTTTTAAAATAAAATCTCAAAACGGTGGGGAAAGTTACGCGGCCCTTTGCTGGATTTTTCGACGTACTAAGACCGTTCCGTATCGAAACGATATTTTATATTACGGTCAATACTCTTCTACGGTAAGCGTGGCCGTTACAGTACCGACGTCCCCTATCGTCGGGTTGCCGACCTAACGGGCAACCGCGACGATAGGGCAAATTTACTATTAACCCGTAGGTAATACTTTCGTACGAATCGAATGGATAGAAATAGCCGGGCCGTAAGAAGACTCCCGTAGATTTCTCCTTTTCCGGTGCTTTTTAATTAAATCTCTCGGAAAGAAAAATTTATTTCCTTCAAATACGGTTTCGGGAGGAAAAGTTATCGGAAATCGGTTATTTTTTATGCGGAAATGACGGTTAGTTTTTCTTACGACGGCGAAATTATGGTTTCAACGTCGGTTATTGGACTCGTAATTTACCGCCAC